CTGAAAGGCCGTTCTGTCCAGATTTGACACGTGGGGTGGTAGCATTGAGCTTCTTTCCGGGGCCCAGTCCCAACGGCCAGAATCGTTAAAAATTTCGGGTTGTCCATCTATGAAATTTACGGTCTGGAATGAACAGTTGGGAGAAGTGGGGATGGGCCCGCGACTGGGCAGCTGGCACAACATAGAACACTCCTAAGGGGAGGCCACCTCGTGTTTTGTTTGTTTTTTAAGCTTTTCTCGGTGATCGATTTGACGGAACACGTCGAGTGTTTGRCCAAAAGTATATATACACCGACGGYCCCCCTGGCAAGGAGTGTAGATTTTCCACTCAAGCCGCGCTCTCCAAGTAGGAGMGCACGGAAGGAGTCTCGAGCCCACGATCAGTGTCGTGGGACGTCGCTGTCGATAGTGCTCCTCCTGCATCTTCAGCGGCGAAGAGSGGAAGAAGATCAAGCCGGAGATTACCCATCSCATCGAACGGCGTGGTGAAGCTGCACCTGTCGAGGACGACAGCGATGGCGCGCAGCTTGTTTCCGGCGATGGCGGTCATGGCGGCTTTGTCCGTCGTGACGATCCTGAGTGCTGCGACGCTTGCCGTCGCAGGCCCGCCGAAGGTCACCATATCCTCGTTCACTTACGGCGGCAGCGGTTGCAACGGGGGCGATACCACCTCCGTGCTCTCTTCCGACAACACCATCCTCACAGTCATCTTCGGCAATCTGATTGCCACGACTGATGCGGGCTTGTTGGGTCAGCGAAAGACATGCCAGATTTCCTTGTCGCTGGATTATCCACGTAGCTGGAGTTTCACGCTCGGCTCGGTCACCGGCCGCGGGTTCACCGACATCGCCCAGGGCTCCAAGGGCGTGTACGAGACGCAGTTCTACTTCTCCGGCCAACCCGGGACGCCCACCATAACGCGCACATTCTCAGGCCCTCGGACAGGCAACTTCGAGGCCACCGACAAGTTCCTTACGGTTGTTTACAGCCAGTGCAACGGTACGCCTAACCTGAACATCAAGCATGTCGTCCGCGTGGAGGGCAGCAGGGCCTTGGTCGGGCTGGATTCGTCGGACTCGAAGTTCASGCTCCTGTTCAGTCTCGTATGGAAGAAGTGCTAAGTTACACTTGGAAGGCAGCATCTCGTGCACCGAGCGGGTGGGAGAGGAAGCAGTCGGTATGCTCAAGCAGCAGGGATGGATGGAGCGGAGGCAAAGAGGATGAGCGGAGCTGCCGACCTGTTCGCACTCGAGCTAATAGCTGTAGAGAGGATGGCCATGCACAGAGTGTGTGGGTGCAGCCAGAATGGCTGGGTTCTGAGTACGTATGTGGTGAGAGGGGGTCAATCTTAAGGCCATCCASTCCGCGAGACTCAGACGCTAGACGAAGTGAACGAAGTAGACGCCGCACAGCTGCACTGCTCCCATCCAGAAAARCTCGGTAGCTGGTAGAGAAATCCAGGATGCTATTCCCGTACTAYGACGCTCYCTTATCGTTCTCATATATGTCATGGGTGACCAGATTCCTTGCAAACTGTACGTAACTTGTGCCGAATGGCCAAACTCTAAGCAGGACCACAACGTATGCTTGCTCCATCCTCCTCTCAATGACAAACAGCCGGTCGTCAATTCCTCCCTCC